ATAATGATGAAGCAGGAATTAGAAACCACTAGAAGCCATGTGCAATTAAGAGGTGAATAATGGCTCAATATAAAGAAGCCCTGTGACTAGCAAAGCTACATAACAGTGAGACAGACTAGCCAGTGGGGTTTGAAGTCCCTATGCCCAGATACATGGGGAGGATGGTAATATCTTTTATCTACATCACAGTTAATAATTTTCAAGGTGCTCCTTAGTGAGACTCCCATTTTTGTCTTTGGGTTTGGTAGCCTTTCTATAATTCTTCCCGATCCACTCTGGTCCAGGACTTCAAACTGAAAACAAATAAATGTCATTGAGATTTGAATAGGTTTTAAAAGGGCATAGATTTTTTTTACTATTCAGCAGCATTTGTCACACCACTAAACTGTACTTCTCTAGTTTGTTGGAAATGTAAAGTGGTACGACCACTATGGAACCAATATAGAGATTCCTCAGAAAACTAAAACTACAAATTTCATTTGACCCAGCTATTCCCCTCTAAGTATCTTCCCAAAAGAGTTAAAAACATAATTTTATAGTGATACATACCCATATTTATAGCAGCACAATTCATAATAGCTAAAGCTTGAAAGTGTCCTACTAAGTTTGTCTACTAACAGGTGAATGGTTAAAGAAAATGTGCTATTTATACACAATGGAAAATTATGCTGCCATAAACAAGGACAAACTAAGAGGCTGGGTGAGGCTGAGCCAGAGGTGGAGGCCTGAAGCCTGTCCTCCCAGCCTGGCAACAGGCGGTGGAGAGGGGACAGTTGTGGGGGCAGGAAGCTATGGCTTAAAAGGGCAGCAGGTGCGGAGAGCTTCCTCCTCACCTCAGTCCTGCTAGCCTCTGCCACTGCCATGTACTGCTGCCTGGGTGAGGTACTGCTCGTGCCCTGCTCTGGGCCCGCCATGCTGGCCTCGCCATGCTGGCCTCAGCCGCCGACCCTGAGGCTCTGTTCGGCTGCTGGGCCTGCGCACCGTCTGTCACACCCTGCCACCAGCCCTTGGGATGCCCGCCTGCTGCCCCTACAGCGATGCAGCGTCTGAGCGTGAAGACAACCCCAACTTCTTTAAGATGGTGGAGGGCTTCTTCCACCGCAGTGCCAACGTCATGGAGGACAAACTGGTGGAGGACATCCACGAGAGCGAGGAGCAGAAGTACAACCGCATGAGTGGCATCCTGCGCATCATCAAGCCCTGCAACCACGTGCTGAGTGTCTCCTTCCCCATCTGGCAAGACGACTGCTTCTGGGAGGTTATCAAGGGCTACCCCACCCAGCAAAGCCAGCACCGCAAACCCTGCAAGGGAGGCATCCAATACAAGACCAATGTAAGTGTGGACGAAGTAAAGGCACTGGCTTTGCCGGTGACATACAAGTGTGCAGTGGTTAATGTGCCATTTGGCAGAGCTAAAGCAAGTGTTAAGATCAACTCCAAGAACTATTCAGACAATGAATTGGAAAAGATCACAGGAAGGTTCACCATGGAGCTAGCAAAGAAGGGTTTTATCTGTCCCGGCATTGACCTGCCTGAGCCGGACATGAACACAGGCGAGCAGGAGATGTCCTGAATCGTGAACACCTATGCCAGCACCATAGGGCACTATGACGTTAGCACATATGCCTGTGTTACCAGGAAACCCATCAGTCAAGGGGACATCCACTGGTGGATCTCCACGACCAGCTGAGGGGTTTTCCTTGGGATTGAAAACTTCATCAATGGCGCTTCCTACACAAGCATTTTAGGAATGACACTTGGCTTTGGACATAAAAGATTTGTGTTCAGGGCTTTGATAATGTGGGCCTGGACTCTATGAGCTATTTACATCATTTTGGTGCTAAATGTGTTGGTTTTGGGGAATCTGATGGAAGCATATATAATCCAGATGGTATTGTCCCAAAAGAACTGGAAGATTTCAAGTTGCAACATGGATCAATTCTGGGCTTCCCTAAGGCAAGGAAGGGTATTCCTCCCCTAAGGCAAGGAAGCATCTTGGAGGCTGACTGCGACATCCTGATCCCTGCTGCCAGTGAGAAGCAATTGACCAAATCCAACGCACCCAGAGTCAAAGCCAAGATCATTGCTGAAGGTGCCAATGGACCCACCACTCCAGAAGCTGGTAATATTTTCCTGGAGAGGAACATCATGGTTATTCCAGATCTCTACTTGAATTCTGAAGGAGTGACAGTATCTTACTTTGAGTGGCTGAAGAATCTAATCATGTCAGCTATGGCTGATTGTCCTTCAAAGATGAAAGGGATTCTAACTACCACTTGCTGATGTCTGCTCAAGAAAGCTTAGAA